TCCCCCCCTCCACCGCCCCTTGCCCCTCCCCTCCTCCAACGCCCTTCCCCGTGCCCGCCCCTCCGCCCCTTGCCGCGCTCAGACACGCCTCCCGCTCCCGGTCCCACCCAGCACTACCCAGGCCGCTTCTCACCCCAGCCTGCCCCTCCAGGCGGCAGCTGGTACCGAGGCCCGTTCGTGTTCACGTTCCTTTCCAGTGAATGATCTGGAGGAGCTGCTGGACCCACGGGCCGGGAGAACGCCCCTACTCAGCAGGAAACAATTACAGAAGAGTGGCCGACACCCAATTTTCCTCAAAAGAAAGGGTCCACATGTCTTGAGGGTTGAATGAGGTGGGGGCAGAGACAGGGGACAAGCATCGTGATTAACTTTTCCTGCCAAAAAGAGGGTATTGAACAAATGATAAGAGTCCTCAGAAAATCCTGATACATTCAGAGAAGAGTTCCTCCCAGTTACTCAAACGTCCTGCCTCACTTGAAGGGACATTTACCTCATCCTCTCGCTCACCCTCACCGATGACAAGAGGGAAGGCGTTTGGCCGTGCGGCCGAAAACAATGCTGACGAGTTGCACTGCCAGCACCCTGCTAATCATGCTCCGGCAGCTCGAGGGGTCCCCAGGGCTGAGTCCCAAAATCCCAAGTGGACATACCCACTCACTGACCCTGGTGGGGCAAGTCGTGATAACATGATCACTTGCCTCCTGGCAGGGATGGAAAGAAGTAAAAATAAACAGGTCAACTAGGAGTGCCTCAAGGAGATTACCAAGGGTGCAGATAAAAACTCAGCCCTCCTTATGAACCCCGTTTCAGAAGCCATGATCAAATGCACAAACATCAGCCCTAACTCCCCGAGGACCCTATTCTCCTACACTTCCACTTCATTTCCCCGTCTTACATAGATATTTGTAAAAAGTTCCAAAAATTAGAAAATGGACCCCAAATACCCCCCAAAAGAGCTTGTAGACCTCGCCTTTAAAGTTTTCAACAACCAGGTTGAGGAACAAAAAAACTTAGAAAGAAAAACAGGCTAAAGCCGAATATGAGATTCTGGCCTCCCTAGTTCGACCTGCAAGCCTGCAAAAGGCTCCACCCCACACCTGCCCAGCAGCTATTTTCACTGGGGCAGTCAGGGCCCTGGGGCAAAAGCTTGCCCTAATCCCAGGCCTCCTACAGAGCGGAGGCCAAACTGCAGACAGTGGGGTCACTGGACGGTGGATTGCCCTCTAGGGAAGTCAGCCCCTGCCTTGAGTCCTCTCCCTTCCAGTGACCGCACACATCTAGAGAGGACCAGGAGGCCCTCATTGAAAGGAAAGGAGAGACACACAGCAGCAATTCACCGGAGAGTTCCGCTTTATTAGGGAAAGGTGCTGGGTTATATAGGAAGGGGTATGACTTCTACGGGGCGGCTGTTGGCTAGGTGCTGGGATTGGGAGGGGAGCGAGAGGTGATTGGGCTTCAGGTGGCGCCGGCGGGAACCGAGGACCCCCCCCCCAAGAGAAGCCGGAAGTTTGCCATCTTACTGGTGGGGGCCCTTCACTCATGGCTTTGTTTTCAGTGACCGACTGATGCGGCCCAGATCCCAAGGCCCCCTCCACGACGACACCAGCAGATCCACCGTGACAATGGTGATGGGCTGTAAGGCAGGTGTCCTTTCTGGTCACTCGGGGACCAGCCTCTCTGTTTACTGAATATTCTGGGAACTTTGCCCCCTCCTCTGTCTCGGTTTTTCGGATGAAAGACATAATAGAAACCCCAGTCCAACCCCCCACCTTTATATTGTTCCTTGGGCCATATTACTTTCACTCATTACTTTCTGGTAATCCCCAACTGCCCCACACCCCTTCTGGAAAGAGATACTCTCTGCCACATGGGGGCAGCCTTACACATTCCCTCCCTCCCCTTGGAACCCTCCCTCATTCTCCCAATCATACCTCCTGAAGAGGCCCTCCCCTCTGAGGTGGTACAGCTTATTAAATCACAAGTTGACTCTATTGTTTGGGACACAGAAACCCTTACATAGCCTCACACCACCAACCTCTCAGAATAGCCCTGAGAGACCCTACTAGAGCTGTCGCAGTTAACCGATACCCCCTGAGCCCCAAGGGCCATCTTGGCCTCCAGCCCATCATCAACCACCTTCTTAAGCCCCAGATACTCATCCCTACCCACTCCCCTGACAATACTCCCACCCTTCCTGTAAAAAAAAACCTGATGGCTCCTTCCGATTAGTCCAAGATCTCCAAAAGATTAATGAAGTTATTGTTCCCACCCACCCAGTAGTCCCCAACCCCTACACCCTCCTCTCCCATATCCCCCTTAAGTACTCATTATTTTATTGTCCTAGACCTCAAAGACACCTTCTTTACTATTCCCCTCAGCTCTGATTCCCAACAACTTTTCACCTTCCTCTGCACACAACCCGTATCTCTGTTCACCCAACAACTCACTGGACTGTTCTTCCCCAGGGATTTTGGGACAGCCCCCACTTTTTTGGCCAAGCACTAGAAAAGAACTCCAATCTCTCAACGTGGCCCCTAGCCACTTGCTCCAGTATGTTGATGACCTCTTGCTTTGCAGCCCCTAAAAAAAATGACTCTATATCCCACACTATCTCCCTCCTTAGATTCCTGGAAAAAAAGGATACCATGTCTCAGAATGCACAGCTCAGCTGGTACTTCAAAAGGTCACATACCTTGGTCTTGACCTCACCCCTACCACTCACTGCATACCTACCTTCCAAAAACAAGCTATTAATAATCTCCCTTTCCCTACCACAAAGAGAGATCTTCTTTCCTTCCTGGGGCTTCTTAGCTATTTTAGACTCTGGATCCCAAATTTCTCACTCACTGCAAAACCCCTTTACAAGGCCTCCCATGGAGATCCCCAAGAAAGGGTGCCAGAGACATTCTCAATTCCTGCTTCTTTCTGGGCCCCCAAGTGAGCACTCCTCAAGGCACTTGCTTTGGCCCTACTCAGTCCTAACAAATCTTTCTTTCTATTCTTAACCAGCAAAAAGGGGCAAGCATTAGGACTACTCATACAACCAGCCGGGGACTCCCTCCAGCCTGTTGCCTGTTTGTCCAGACAACTCAACCTTGTGATAAAAGGCTGGCCTCTCTGCTTACAGATCCTGGCATCAGCTATGCTCCATATCCCCAAAGCCCAAAAATTGCCCTCCACCAGCCCCTATAAGTACACTCCTCACACAACCTCTCCAACCTTCTTAGCCCCCAGCTCTAACCCTTCTCTCCCGGACCCAAGTCCAGGTCTTACACTCTCAGCTTCTACAGCCCTTGGATACCTTCTGCTGCTCTTCTGTCCTAAACCCTGCCACCTTCCAGTACCTAATGGTCCAGACTCCACCCCCAACATGGGTGCACTGAGCTCCTTGATTTCACTCTCACCCGCTTCCATCACATGACCTCAGAACATATTCCAGGATCTCCTGTCTGGCTTATTGATGGGAGTGCTTCAAAGGCCACCCCCTCCCAGGCAGGGTGCGCATCACTAAGGGCTGTCATGATAGCCAGCCCTCCTGCCCTCCCTGAGAAGTAACAGAGGTGGCAGCCCTCCCCATGGGGACGACCTCACAGCAGGCAGAACTTATCACTCACCAGAGCTCTTACTCTGGCAAAAGGTAAAACTATCAACATCTATACAGACCCTAAATACACATATAATATCCTGCAATCACATGCCCAGATCTGGCACAAGAGAGGACTCCCAACAGCAAAAAACACCCCTATGCAAAACGGACCCCTAATTCAAGATCTCCTAGAGGCAGCACTTCTACCCCATAGACCTACTGTCATTCATCGCAAGGGCCATCAAAGACCTAACTCGCAGGATAAAAATTTCAGACACATCATTCATGGAAATAACGAGGCTCATAGAGTAGCAAAACAAGCAGCTGTCAACCCTCTCTCCATTCCCTGCTTCCTGATCCATCTTATGCCCTACTTGCCCCAAGAATTAGCTCTACTCCAAGCACAGAGGGCACTCCAAGAACAATGGTGGTTCCTCCATGGAAACCTGGTCCTTCCTGAAGGCTTAGAAAATAAATTCCTTTCATCTTTCCGTGACTAGTTCCATGCCAGATCATTCCCTCTGCTCCAACTCCTACAGACCCACAGACATCCTACTCCTGGTCTCAGGACCTCCCTACAGAAGATTATCACCCGGTGCTCCATATGCCAAACCACCAACCCTTAGAGCAACCTCAGACCTCCCCCCTTTCCTACCCATCAGTTCTGGTGATCTCTCCCTGGCCCTGACTGGCAAATAGACTTTACCCATATACCTCCAGTAAAGAAACCAAGATACCTCCTTGTCCTGGTTGACACCTTCTCCGGATGGATCCACAGGTCTTAAAGGCTCACCGACGTCCCCAGTGGGCCATAACTGGTCCCTCCCAAAGTGGACTCCATCTAACCCAACCTGCTCCTTTGTGCATCTAACAGGTCTTAAAGGCTCACCGACGTCCCCAGTGGGCCATAACTGGTCCCTCCCAAAGTGGACTCCATCTAACCCAACCTGCTCCTTTGTGCATCTCCTGAGCCCAGCAAGATCACTACACCCCAGTCGGCTCCTTAGATCCCTCCCTCTGCAAATCCACCATTCAGCTTCTCCCACCTACATTATACAAAAGATCCTCCAGAGCAGCACATATTCCATTCACTGAAATCATCCCCTGCTTCGGACTCCCAACTTCTATCCAAACCAGTAACAGACCTGAATTCACCTCCCAGATCACCCAACAGGTGGCCTCTTCCCTAAATATAACCTGGAAGTTCCTTATTCCGTATCGACCCCAATCCTCAGGTAAGGTAGACAAGGCTAATCACCTTCTCAGACAGTGCCTAACCAAGTTTTCCCTCCAGGTTCATTTGGACTGGACTCAGCTCCTGCCCTTAGCCAGTTTTAAACTCAGGTCTCTCGTCCACAAACCTGTTATGCTCAGCCCTTTGAGGTTCTATATGGAAGGCCCCTTATTACCTTCACTTTTCCCACCTCCAACTCAAACCTACCCCTCCCTCTCTCAACTTTTTTACTTAATACATTTAGACATCTCATCTGGAACTATGCAGACTACACCTTCCCCAAACCCTTCAACAACCCACACAACCCTCACTCCTCCATCCTACAACCTGGAGACTGGGGATATATGAAGCCCCTCAGCCTCTCCCATGGGCTGAAACCAAAATGGACGGGGCCCTTCTAAGTAACCCTGACTACCCCAACAGTGGCCAGTTCAAAGGTCATTCTGGGTCCACTTTTCATCTCTAAAAAAGGCTCCCCTTTTCCAGGGCACACCAACCAAACCCACATCCCTGATCACCAAGCTGTCTTCTGTGGTTGAAGAGACCGAAGACACGGCTAAACAACCCCATGAGTCTCTCTCTTTATAACTTTGTCCTTATAACTTTGTCCATTTCTTGACCGACCTAATAGAAGAACTCTCCCATTACTTGCCTTCCACCTCCTTAGATACAATAATCAAGGACCTATGGTTATAGGGAACCTTCCCAGATTTCTCCCCAAGGCAAATCACCACCTGTACCTCCTGTATTCTCCTGCTCCGATCCTTTCTTTCTCAATATTACTTATCCTCTTAACCCCTAACACCACAGCACAGACCCTTCCTAAATACCTCAATCAGACACTCTCCCACTGATCAAATCATCAAACCTTCAATGGGACTATCCAGCCACCCTGCTGGGTCTGTCTCCACCTTTCTCAGACAGCAGACTCAGCCACCCCTGCTCTCTTTGGGACATGCAGGGCTACACTCCACCAAGACTGTCAGTCCCAGGGGTACAGCCCAAGCTGAAGGATCTGACATCAGACTTCCAGGGGCACTAAAAGGTATTGGACAGGTCTTAAAGGCTCACCGACGTCCCCAGTGGGCCATAACTGGTCCCTCCCAAAGTGGACTCCATCTAACCCAACCTGCTCCTTTGTGCATCTAACAGGTCTTAAAGGCTCACCGACGTCCCCAGTGGGCCATAACTGGTCCCTCCCAAAGTGGACTCCATCTAACCCAACCTGCTCCTTTGTGCATCTCCTGAGCCCAGCAAGATCACTACACCCCAGTCGGCTCCTTAGATCCCTCCCTCTGCAAATCCACCGTTCAGCTTCTCCCACCCTCAGATCACCGCAATACTAACCATCTGGGAACTCTTACCTTTATCTGGGTACATTTCCTTCCAAGGCAGTCTGAATGCCACCACATTTAGATATTGCCAAGACAGGAAAAGACCCCCTAAAAGACACCCCCCTAGCCCATGGAGGAGCCTAAGAGTGCAAACATCTTGATATGCCTGATGGCAGAATCTTCCTAAACCAAAAGTTCACTGCTCTTAGTCAAGAGGATCCTATGGTATTGGAACCAGCCTCACCTCTCTCCCCCTTCGCAGCTGCAGCTTTTAGCTTCTCCTTCCATATATGGCACAAATAGGAGGCAGTCCAACATTTACTTCCCAACCCACCCCCAGACCTCCTCCTCTTGTCTCGGTTTGATCTCATGGGATGCCTTTCCCTGGAAACAGGCATCTTTTGGGTGTGCAGAAACAAGGCATACATTTGCTCGCCAACCAACCGGACCCGAGTCTGCACTCTAAGTGTCCCCACTCCCACCCTTTCTTTAGCAACATCCGATCTACCCAGCCTTGTCTCCCCCAAAACCCATGTCAGGGCACAATGTGCCATACAGCTAGTCCCCTTAATGGCCACCTTAAGTGCTGGGACAGGGATTGGGGCCCTAGGAGTCTCTCTTTCAGAGTTCACCAGGCTGTCCAAAGAACTCACTGAAGGACTCAAGAGGTTTCTGACCAACTGGGACACTTACAAGGTCAAGTGGACTCCCTGGCTTCAGCTGTTCCCCCAAACCGCAGAGGCCTTGATCTCTTCACAGCTTCCCAGGGTGGCATGTGTACTCTACTCCAGGACCAATGCTGCTTTTACACCAAACAATCTGGCCTCGTTAGGGATGGGGCAATACGGCCTTTGTGAGCAAGCTTCCAAACGTCTTGAAGTCCCTTCTAATAACTCGTTCCCCTTCCTCTTCATTAGCTTCTACCTCTCCTGGCCCCGTTCGCCTTTATCACCCTCCTCCTCCTTTTCCTTCCCTGCTTAATTAACCTATTCCAAAGATTTTAACAGGATCCAAGGGCAGCCATCTCCCGAGCAACTACTCAGAATGCCTCCAAACGGCCTTTCTGCTTCAAAATATCAGAAAACCCTTTTCATTGCCCCTTGCAGCAGGAAGTTGTAGGGGACGGCCTTTGTCTTCCCCCATGTCTGTACGCAGAATAGGGAAGCACCAGCTTGAGAACAATTGGTGCAGTCCTTGGAAGTTATCTGCCCACAAAAACATTTCTTGTCCTCGAAAACGAGCCAAGATGCCTCACGCTGAAAACAGGGAGACCTTGGGGATGTGTGCAAACACTGCACCTGCTGAGCGGGTAGATTCTAAGAAAATCAACAAGATGTTCTGGCCTGTCCCCCCTGAGAAGGGAAAGATCAGTATAGCACTTGGCTGGGGTCCGAGAAAGGCAGTATAAAAATAAAGGAGCTGCGCCACATCGGGGCTGCTGCAGCCATTGTCTCTCTGTCTGTGCTTTTTGTTCACTCCCATTTCACCCAAGTGAGCAGCACCCAACATCTGGCGCCCAACGTGGGGCCCGAATAGGGACACACCATGGGGCAGGACCCCACAGCCCAGAAGAACATGGGGCACGAACGACCCCACTGTGGAACAGGACCCCACAACCCTGAGGAAATTGGAGATAGGATGCCAGGGGTGACTTGGGACCCAGAAGGGGGCCAACTTCGGGTAAGCTGACACTGCGATAGGTGAACTTCTGGAAGAAACAAAGAGTACTAATGGGGAACTCTCCCTCCCTTGAGAGGGAAGATCAACAGCTCATGCAGGGACTTCTACATTCTCTTGGTGTAACTGCCAAAGACAAGCTGTTGAAAGATTTATTTGCCAGGGTCCAGAAACATTGCTTTGAATTTTGCTTTCAGTAAGAGGTGCAACTGAATAATGAAGCCTGGTGTAAGGTTGTCAAAACTCTTCGCCAGGCTCATCCACAGGGGAACACGATGCCTGCTACTTTGTGGTCCCTTTGCAGCTCTATTTCTCAAGCTTTGCAACTGTTAGAAATGGACTCTGAGAGAGATGCTCATTCTGCTGACTCTGATTTATAAGAGCCTGTGCTGGCGTAGGCGGAGTTGCTTATCAAGCTGAAGAAGAACTCACGTAGGTAGAACAACACATTCAAAAAAATCAATTATCAAAAATTGACTTACACAAACCTTTAGTTATATTAATTTACCTTGCTCCCCATTCAAAGCAGTACTCTTGGGCCTGCGCCACTTTCTCCTGTATAATGCAAATAAATTTACAGAATTAATTTACTTCTGTAAAGTAATTAAGCTGAACCCTCAGACCAACATGTAAATAACTCTATTTTATTGACTCCTTTCTTTAGAGGTAGTCATCCTGGGGCTAGGCATTTCCTTTTCTGCAGTCCCAGGGAAGCAAAACAAGTTGTGACTCAGATCAAGGCTCTAGCAGCGAGAGGTCACACAGTCCCTGCACTTATCAGACATGCAGGGGACTCTCAAGAATGACTAGGGCTCAGGCAGAAAAAACTAGGAAAACTAACTGGGAGCAATTCGATCTCTAAATTCTAAAGAAGTATCTGTCTTATATTCTGCAGACAAACCTGGCCTCAATACAAACTCTCTGATTAGAGAGACTTGGCCCCTGAAAAAAGTATGCAATATAATGTTATGCAGCTAAATATATTTTGCCCCAAGGAAAGAAAATAGTCAAAAGTCCCGTGAACTACTACAATATGGAACTAGTTTTCTAAATTCTTTTAGTGAAAATCTATTCTACTTATTAAGTTCATCATTATCTTTGAAAATTGGGAAGTCTTAAACTAGACTCCCTGAGAGAAGAAATTTATTTTTTACAATACTGGCTTTAAATAACTGGTGCTAAAATTGTACTTTCATTTCATTTCCAGCCCCCTGGACACACACAGTCTCTATAGGTTCAGAGCCTTCATCAGCCATTTTAGTCTGGGGCTGTCTAAACCTTAGCCCAGTTATGTAAACTGCCCGCCTTTAGAGTGTATTCTTGAAAACTGAAGTACTTTTAATCAAATAAGCTAAAAAGAAGGCAATTGAATATTAGTAACTTAAATATTTATATCAGTTTATCTCTGTGTATATGTTCTTTTATATGAAAAGTGTTGCTAACTGTAGTCATTATGTCTGTCTGTAATTTTGTGTGTCTAAGTGTGTAAATAAAAAATATTTTCTACCTCCAGATGGTATTAATAAAAATCGATTTAAAAACAAGCGCTTGTGAAAATTGGGCATTCTAAAACTTCCAGAAAATATAATAAAAAATATTAAGCATTAATGCTAATTTAAGTTTAACTGAAAAGGGCATGTCCTTATAGTTATCAGCTGCCAAAGCTTACTTAAAAGTTGTTTAAGTTGATGTTACCTGTTAAATATTTCAAGAAGACGTTAAAGAAAAGCTTGACTTTGTCTAATGTTTGGTAAAAGTTTTATAAGTAATCTAGCATAGTTGCTAAAAATAAGTAAACAAGTGTAGCAAATGAACATCTTAATAATAATAATGTATTAATGTATAACAGTGTTTATAAATGCAGACAGCCTGAGAATTTTTGTAGTAACCAATAATTCTTAAAGCTTTGCTAAGTTATATAGACATATTCTGTGCTTAAATGAGAAATTGTGCTGTAAGGCACATTTCCAAAAATGATAAAATATGTTCATAAATGTATCAATCTGAAGAATGCTGGTGTAACAGTTTACAGAGGCCTATTTTTCAGTGTTCACTGAAGGTTAAAGTACCAAATGGTTTTATGTTCTAATTAAAACTATTTAATATAATAAGGAAAACATTTCTGTATGCTAAAGAATGTGTTTTAATAAGAGAATGTATAAAGAATAGAAATGCATTTTACTGAAAGTAAAATAAGATAACTTGTTCTTAAATACAGCTGTTTATTGAATGCTTAAGAAAATGAGGTCAATATTAAAAAGACTAAGCTAAGTGTTGTTAACTATGTAACCTTCTGTATTTGCTTTTAAATTTTCTTATTATCATTCTGGTTAAATAATAAGTGTTATTTAATAACTATAATTCTATTTAGGCAAGTGCCTGAAAACGTTTTGACAACTTCCCAAGAATTAAAAAAATTTTTAAAGTATTTTTACTTCTGGTTAACTCTGATGTTTTCCAGAGGGCCCCTGGAACATGTCATAGAAATTTCTTCTCCTCACCAAGGAAAATACTTGGCTAATTTGGCTTATTTACCTGATATATATTTATCTGGAAAGCACTGTCAAAAGAAATAATGCTAAACTTTATTACTGAATGTTTCATGTTACTCTTCCCCCCTAAGACGCTTACTCCTGATGCTCAATTAAATTTACCTGTTAGTACTACTATAATCACTGACTGTATATGTATTAATTGTACTCATGTACTCTCTTACTGTATTTCTACAATCAATGTAAAGTGGTCTTCTAGGTATAGACTTCCAAACAGTTGGGTAATTTTGTGTAATAACAAAACATATCAAGCCCTTTCTTCACACTATCGAGGTGTTTGTGGGGTGGGATGCATTCTTCCTGTCCTAATAGATCATCGTGGATATAAGCGCAAGAGACTTCTCTGAGCTCTGCCATCTGATTGTGAGGACAACTTGAAACTTTCAAATCCTGCCACTGTTGAAGTTGTAGCTACATTCCTCCTGCCAGTTCCTGGACTTGTCGCTAGAATGCAGAAATATCTAAACTGGCCTGTGCTTCTATACTATCTGAACTCAACCAAAAACTAGTAGAAGTGCGAGTTGCAGTACTTCAGAATTACACTACCATAGACTACCTGCTGTTAAAAGAACATGTAGAATGTATACAGTTTCCAGGAATGTGTTGTTTTAACTTCTCTGATTTTTCTCAAGCTATTCAAAATCAATTAGATGATATCCATCATATTGTCAATAAGTTTTCACAAATGCCTGAGTTACCTGACTAGTTTTCTTAATTTCATTGGATATGGCTAGTAATTTTAAGTCTACCTTTGTTATGTAGCCAAGAAAAGAACGGTGATGGGTCTTCCTATACCCTTAAGAGCAGGAATGATAGAGCCTGGACAGGATCACCACTGTTTTGAGTAAGTACACCAGCCATCTCAGAGAGACCTGGGTTTCATTTTACTTAAGCCACAAGCATTTTCCAGAGGACTCGTCAGCAAGCCACAAGCCACAAGCCCTGCCGAGCTGCCCCCTCAAAAGCCCGCCAAAAAGATGTTATAAAAAGCCTCCTAACTGTAAGAGAGGCCTTTTTTGTCCTGCTTGCCAGAACACAGAGGTCCCTCTCACATTTAGCAATAAATCTACTCAAACTGTTGAGTTTGCAGCCCTTCTTTTCCTTTCAGCAGCCATCCTGCCAACTTGGGCATTGTGGCTCAGAAGCCCAGGCCCAATGGGCACTCCCACTCTCTTCTCATATTAGTGCCTACTGGACTGCAACTTCTGGCTGCCAGGCAGAGTTGGGTGCCAAGGGCCCAACTCAACCTCCAGGGCCCCAGCACGCTCTCCTCTCACTCGGTCACTTGTGCTGAATACTGGCACATTCCCCATTCCAGAGGTGCAGAGGCTCATGGCCCAGTCCCTGTGTGGGCCCAGCTTGAGGCAAGTACCCTGGACGAAGCTGCAGCAGCAGGGAGACCGAAGCATGTGTGTTTGTGTATGTGTTTCCAGGATTTCCACGGTGTGGGTAAAATTGTAATATCTCCCCTGGCTTTAGTACATCTGCATATCAACAGGCTTTCAGAGGTAGAAGTAAGGCCTTAACGCATTTGCATCATTCCTCAGGGGTGGAGAGAAGTTCATCTCTGTATCAATGGGTAATTTACCTGGGCCATGGAGGGCTTATCTGTACCTGAGAGGGGAGGAGAGGGGAGGGCAGGTTTTACTTCTGCTGGAGCAGGAAAGAGACAAGGCCCAGACTGCAGTTTGTAAGCAGTAAATGGATTTTAAACTTTATTTCTCCCATTGACTGATTTCAATTTTTAGAGGTATTTTGCCCCAGGATTTCCTTACCCGAAATTACAGACGGGATGAAGGTTGGGGGGCGAGGGAGAGGAAGGATAGGGCCCTGAGCCTGAAGCACAGCGGCCGCCCTCTCCACGTGACCCCAATCTCGTGTCCTTTCCCAGAACGCGTCCTCGCTCCGGTACGCTCTCCCCCACTTGAGCCGAGCTGGGAGCCCCTAAACCTTCTCCCGGGCCTCCTCCTCCCCTTGTCTGGCGCTGCTGTCACCCGTCCCGCCAGCCGCAGGCGGGGTCGCTGCGCAGTCTCCTCAGCCCCTCCCCCACACTCGTGGCCCCCTTGTCTCTACCCAGAACTTTCCGCGGTCAGGCTGGGCCTCTGCTGTGGGGTCCCCGGGAGTGCCCGCCGCGGGGTCGGTACCCTGGACGAAGGTCGACAAGGGACAAGGGACGCGCCAGGCCGGCGAGCGACGGGACGTCGGATCCCGACTGGAGCCCCATGAGAGCCTCCTCCCGGGCAGGAAGAGTCCACTTAACGAACAGCCTTAGGGGACCTGCGACGAGGGGCGGGGCCAGGCCTCACCAGACCACAGCGAGGTGCGCTTTCCCCGTGGTTGCGGGGGGGCCCAAGCCCCTGCCGGCCTCTCCGCCGGGCGAACACCCCGCCCAGCACCGGAGCCCCATCCGGCCGACTCCGCTCGGGTGCGGTGGGGACGAGGTTAAGTGGCCCCCGCCAGGGACCGCCTTGGCCGGAGCCTCTGCCGCTTCCGCTCCGGGCCTTCCGGGCCAGGCGCGCAGGGCCAGGGTCCCAGCCGGAGGGATCCCTAGAGCCGCCCGTCGGCTTAGTGTTTCTGCAGGACTTGGCGCCGGACTTTCAGAGACTATTTACAGACTTGACCCGCATCAGGCCTGGGGCCGCCTCCCTTTCCCCTCCGGCGTTGGGGAAAGCTGTCGTTAGGTCCTGCGCCCTGTCCATGCACCCAGGAGGGTCCAGGCGCCCAGCAGCGTCTAGTGCAGCAGGAGAGCCTCGGTGCTTCCACACCCGACAACTTGGAGTTACTTCTCAACCATGTCTCTTGGTGGCTTTTTTTAATCTTTCGGATAACTCATGACTTGAGCCCCTTTTCTTTTGCAACTCGTCGTCCCCATGCCCCATCCCCCACCAACACCACGGCCTCTGACACCTATTGGCTGGGCCATGGGCTTTTTTTTGCAGGAAGAGCCAAAACGAGGTGATGTCCGGTGCTTGGGGATTTTCCTGAGGGGGGTGGTCAGGGACAGCCCCACCTCGGAGGTGACTTGTAGAGAGATTGCCATTCCAGGTGGCAGGGAAAGGGTTCCAGAAAAGGGGAGGAGCCAGGAGAAATTCACCAGGTAGAATGAGTTGACATAGTTGGGAACCAAGCATGGGATGTCTCTCCTGGGTGAGGGAGTGGAAGGAAGTGGCAGACAGGTCCCAGGGCAGTGTGCCCTGGAGGCCACCCGACCAATGGCCCTGTTTCTCCATGGGGAAACAAACTCAGTCCTTGGACCTAGTGTGGGTTCGGGAGGGACTCGATCCCCAGTGACCCTCAGTCTCAGGTGGCTCACAGCGGCTCAGCCTGCGTCCTGTGGGGGCCTTGTCTGCAGCTGCCCCCACACCCCCCTCTAGGCTTGACTCCACACCCTTCAGAAAACTATTGTCAAGGAATGGAATTATTTTGAAAGGGAAGAGTGAGGAGCTGAGGAGGTGGTTACAACACACCAGACACCCTCCTGGTTGCCCCCACCCGGCCCCCAGAAACTCTAGACTCAGGTCTCTTCTGTGCTCCCCACTCTTTCACAACCCCCCAGCTGTAGTCTCCTGACACCCCCCCAGCCAACACTCCCAAACGCAGCCAAACGACAGGGGGCATCGCCTGGGAGGGGCGACCCAAGTCATCCTGTTGTAGCCCTGTTTCAGAGGAGGAAACTGGGAGGCTGGTCATTTGCCCAAAGATGGCAGGGCAGGTGGAGAATGGGTCTCCTGCCTCAGGTGCCTCTGCACACAGGGATGAGTGGCGGAGGTCCCTGTAGGGAGGGAGAGGAAAGGCAGGAGAGAGAAAGGGGGTCTTGGATAAAGGGACAGGCTGGTTGGCTCTGGCCTCCCTTCTGCCATCTGGCCTCTGTGGACTCTCTGGCTCCTGGGTCCTGCAGAGATCCACGCATCTGCTCCCATATCTGCTGCCTGGCTGCCTAGAAAGATATCACTGAAATGGGTGGCAGCAGGGCCGGGGATTCCCCTGTTATGACAGTGGTCACAGGACGCTGACTCACTACCATCCAGACCACCTGACCTCGGAGCCAGAGAGGGCCCTTCCAGGGGGTTCCCCGGGCTGCCGCCTTGTTTACGTTTGACAGCCTGGGAGGAGGGCAGGGCAAGGCGGGCTCAGCCGCGGAGCATGCTGGGAAGGCTGCAGCTGGGGCTCCAGGGAGCCTGGGTGTGGGGTGTGGAGGGGGCTGCAGGCTTGCTTCCTAAGGCCCCATTTCCTGCCACCCCTTTCTCCCTGTGCTCTCCATTCCTCTTCGCAAACCCAACACTGTCCTAAACAGGGCCAAGTGGCTGGAAAGCAAAGACATTCCTGCTGGGGCCTGTTGTCTACTTGTTTGGACAGAGGCTGTGCCTTGCTTAAGCCGTTACTGAAGAGCCATAGGGTTCCCCAAAGCCACAGGGCTTTCCTTGTGCACCCTGACCCATGCAAACAGGGTCTATGAAGCTCCTGGGGGGGGGGGGGGGG